GAGAACAGTTTAAACAAAATGCTGCTTCTGGATATAGTTGTTTATTACTCATTGCTTGTCTGCCAGGCCTGCTGATGCATTCTCTGCTGTTTTCTAGTACACTAAGCAATGTGAGAGAGTGATTTCTCCTTTAGAGTCACTCAGCTGGAGTCAGGTTGGACAACAGTTGTGCTTACTTTTCCTTCTTGTGGTAGAGAAACAATTCAAAGTCCCATGGGTCTGTTTCTTGAGTTTAGTAAACAGAACATGTTTTTTTTACCACCGTATAAAGTGATTGAGTTTACTATAAAAAATGAAGAAGTTCTCACATATGCCTTCGAATGCAGTTTGCACTAATCAGAATACATTAGGTAAAGAGCTATGCTTTTCCATTACATAGGTCATAATTAGGAATTGAAGATAGAACCAGTAGTCAATATAAAATGAAATTTCCCTAAGTTTCTGTTGTTGGTGATTTCAAGGAAAAGCTAAGAAAAAGTAATTTTTATAGAACTATGTTACAGTTCAAAAGGGGCCCTCATGGCTCAGTGGTTAAGCATTTGGCTGCCAACCAACCACTCTGCAGAAGAAAGATGTGGCAGTCTGCTTCTATAAAGATTATAGCCTTGGAAGCCCTATGGGGCAGTTCTACCCTGTCCTCTACGGTCACTGTGAGTTGGGATGGACTTGACAGCAATGGGTTTGAGGTTTTTTTTTTTTTTTTTTTTTTGGTATGTTACAATTCAGATAATGAGGACTAGGGGTGTAAAAGAAATTGGAAACTAACTAGCTAAACACAGTTCTGCCAAAGATTGGGAAATCACCTGTTATGAAAGGTGGCTACTGTTCTCTTAAAAATTCCTAGAAACCTGCCCTTTTCTGGAATGTACATTAATGGGGTCGCCATGAGTTGGGGTTGACTCCAACTTTTTTGTAATGTATATGTGTGTATGTACACACAATTCTCTGTTAAACTCAACTGAGGTCTATAGAAGAAGGCATAGAATGTAATGCATATGGCAAGTACTTATTGGGAATGAAAATACTGTGGTGCTACATTGTAACTCATTATGCAGAATAAATGATGCTATAACAATAATACTATAAATAATATAAAAGAACCAACCTAAACTTGTCAGAGTCAAACATAAAGCAGTTTTTTTTCAAGTGTAAAAGCCCTTGATTTATTCATTCAACAAACATTTATGATACACCTACTATGTACAAGACAGTAGTTCTAATTCTCAGTGGGCATAAGTTTTGGAAGAGTTGATAACTGGGCGTTGAAGGTACCAAATTAACTATAGTAATATTGGATTGGAGCTCTGTTTTTCCTACTTGAAGCTAACATGAAGTAATTTCTACTGATCAAGTAAAAACTTCCCAGGCTTGCTTTCTGTAGTCTATTTTGAGGCACAGAATTTAGTGGCAGGAAATATGAGTTCTAGTCTCTGTCTTACCTAGTCAGGCATCAGAACAAAATCAGACAAGGATTTAGTGAGAAAAGCAGTGAACTGAGAGCCAGCTGGGCTTATAGACCTGGTTCAACCACGAAACAGCTGGTAAACTTAAACAAGCATTTTAACTTCTAGGAACCTTAAGAGTTTTTACCTGTTAAAGAAGAGTATTAATAGATGGGTTTGTGTGTGTGTGTGCTTTAAGTGAAAAGTAGATGGTTTTTAAGTCTTTGCCAGCTCTAAAATTTAATTAAGCAAAGTGAAAACAATGTGAGAAATATGGAAAGGGTTAGATAAATGTAAGATGTGATGATATCGATGATGACTCAGGCTCCATATGTAAGTGGATTTTTGTCTATACACACATCTACTTTTGTTTAGCACACCTGTTTTAGTATCTTCTTTTGGCCCAAGAGTCCAATGGCAAAGCATCCTCAGGCCTAGGGATTGTCAGGCTGCCTGCCCTTGGCCCCCTCCCTTCATGGTGCTCAATGTTCCCTCCCTCCTGAATAAAGGTGAAATTGAAGAGAAGGGGAGCTCAGAGGTCCCTGCTCAGCCTCTGTGGCTTCTAATACACTACCTTGAAGATGGTAGGTTGAGTTAAGCAGGCTTTGGACCGAATCCTCTCTCTACTACTTACCCTTTGATTATTCAGTTTCTTTTTCCATAAAAGGTGATAATCATATACCAGCTCTAAAGATTTTTATGAGAATTAATCAAAGCAAAATATGGAAAGGACCTGGCACATAAGTAGGTAGATGCTAATATTGTTGTGATTGTTGTAGTTGAGGCTGAAAGCAGTCATCTCCCCTGCTAATTCAAGCTGGGTGCCAAAGTGACCACCAAAATCCTAAGCACCCCTCACTGAAGTTACACAGGAATATACATTTCTGCATGTCATCCCTTCTTATCCACCAAGTAGCAGCAACAAAAGCAGGCATTTTATGGTGCTTATTTCCTACAAAGTGATTTCCTGTGCATAATTTTATTGGATTTTCAAATTAAGCTATGAGGCAGGTAAAGTGGGTATTACTTTCATCCCTGCTCTCAGAACCACTGTCTTGACCATTCCCATGGAGTAGCTCTTCAGGAGTGCCATCCACTTAGAATACAGTGTGAATGGTCTCCTCCCCTGGAGTCATGCAGAGCAGCAATACTGCCACTTTTAGAATAAGAAACAGAAGTCCAGGAAGGTTAAATGACTTATCCAAGGTCACACAGCCAAAGAGGAAAAGATCCTTATCTCAAACTCAGGTTATGACTCCAAATAGTTTGTGCTTTCCTCTAGCTGTACAATGTATACATGGAGATTATGATAGTGTCAGATTGTCCATGCCAACCTCTCCATCCAGTATTAGGCTTTGAGCTATCTTGGTGGAAGATCCCCTGAGGCCACTGGACAAGAAAACCCTCACCATGCCATAATGTAATATGGCACATTGTGTGTGACTCAGCCTTGCTCTAGATGTGTGGTACCTCAGATGCTATTGTATGGAAAGGAAGTACCTGCATATCTGAGCAAATCAGGTTGTGGAGCTAGTGGTCTACTCCTTCTTTTTCTGTAAGTCTGGCTTACATGAATATGTAATAACCAGTACCCCTAAAAATTGTATTGTATCCCCCACTGTGTTGCCACCTTATCACAATCTGTAGCTTGTGCCAAAAGGCACGTAGCAGTATTAAATAAAAATTAAGAGTTTTGGAAAAGTAATTTTATCACAGTACTGCAATTGGACTCCATGCAAAACGAGAATAACTTCCTCATATTCCCTAATCCCCAAACAAAATAACCATCAAGAAATATTAAAACACACATTTTATTAGTTTCATTTAATTTCTTAATTGCTCAAAGTCAGTTTACCCATTTATTGCTGTGTGAAATGCTTAGAGGCAAGGCGCACATTAAAGGGATTATTTACATGTAATCCCTCCCTCCCAGAGGAGAGGAATTGATCACTTATGAATCCTGATTTATGCTCTGTAACAATACCAAATGGAGGAAATAGTTATTGTAAAATGATATAGTCAGTAGTCGGGTAATACAGTAGGAGAATGTAATTTAATAGCACAGAGAAAGTGCCTCATTTTCAGTAAAAGTTATGCAAGCTCTTTTCAGGAAGAGCTATTAACCAAACTGAATTTAGTCTCCCGTTTTTCTGGCTATACCTTTGCTAATTGATAGATGTTGAAGATATGTAGCCTGTTAAGATTTTAATCAAATGGAGTCTGGGAGTAGATGTGATAATTTTACCGGGACTTGGAGTTCTGGGGATAATAATTACGCTGGGTATTACATGGCTCTATGACAATTCACCCACTGCCAGAATGCCTCCCTGGCAGCAAAAAGAGAATGGAAATGCAGGTGGCATTTGGAGAGATGCTTGGAATTACACAGGAAAGGGACATGAGGTAGGAAGGATTTCTGTGTAAACATCCACCAAGAAACTTGTGAAAAATATGAAGTGCCGGCCGTTCTGTGGCACATCATAGCTGGTTTGAGACCATTAAACTCTCGAGGACTGGGAAACTCATTAGTGACCTGGGAAAGAGCGTTTCCTTGTTCTGTTGCTGACACATCTCTCCCTGTTGTAGTACCTGTAACCCTAATACATTACTTTAGGAGCATTATTGCTATTCTCGAAAGGAGGTAAGAGTTATAGCATCAGAAGAGTACAGAGGTAAGGCCAGTCCTTACCAGCAACTTCTGCCCCCTCAGACAGTACCCAACCCAGACCAGGGCCATGCCTGACAGCACCAAAGTGGGTAGTGCCTCCATTTCAGGCTGACACTTTCTGGTATTTGAGACATATTCTCTACCTTTAGAGTCAGCCTAATACAAAGAGTACACAAAATAAAACATTTTTTAAAAAGCCCTCAAGGAGAATTGTACCATCTATTTTATTAGATTGAAGGCAAAACAAGCTGATACCAGCAGAAAAGAAATGGCTGCTTCAGACCCCAGCTGACCTTTTTTGCATGGAAAATTCTCTGTATGATTACAGAGCTAATGAGTAATATTTAATGAAAACATTATGTCTTTGCATATACTCATAAGCAGCACTTCTTAAATTTAAATTTACATAGAAATAAGCTGATATGTATAAAAATGCATCTTGCAAATCTGTGTATTTTAAGGAAAATACCAGTCTGATATCTCTGGCTGTTTCTGTACAAAGCCCAGAGCTCTCAATGAGAACACTGTAGAATTCAGTCAATCATCCAGTTGACACCAAACACGAAAGTATTTGATGATGCATGGATAAAACAGCGGCATGCGAGGCCGACTTGTCCACATGCTCAGAATGTTTTAGCTTTATGCAAACAACAGTGTATGTGAAAAACTGGGCTAAACAAATGCTAAATAAATACATATAAAAAAAATCTTTCTCTTTCAAGTTTAAGAATCCTTAAGTATTTGAGGATGAACACTTAGAACCAGGACTGTTTCTGGGACCGATGTAGATTCCATTTGCTAAGCAGAATCTGAACCACAGTGGTGCTGAATTTTAAAACTGGAAAAAGCCTGTGACACCTCTTTTCCCACCCTTTCTCTTCCCCCTCTAGGTGGAGCTGACAGGAAGCAGTGTCTTTGACTATGTCCACCCTGGGGACCACGTGGAGATGGCAGAGCAGCTGGGCATGAAGCTCCCGCCTGGGCGGGGTCTCCTCTCGCAGGGCACCGCTGAGGATGGAGCCAGCTCAGCATCTTCCTCCTCTCAGTCGGAGACCCCTGAGCCAGGTGGGAATTGCAATCCCAGTGTGTGGGTTGGTGGGCAGGACCTTTGCCAAATGACTAGGCTCAAATTGCCAGTGTGAAGAGATTATAAATAGGTCTAGTGGTATTTAACAATTCCATGCAGCTTTTGATCCCTTGCAGTAATTAAATAAGGAAGAGATTTGAAAATAAAGAGACATTTTAATAAGTATAATCCAGAGATCTAATTTCAGTTGAACAATACATGTAGAAGGTGCTAGTGCCTTTAGTTTCTCTTTCAAATTACTGGAGGGAAACGGTTCAGATTTGGAACACCTTCTTCCTTTCATTGTTACCATGGCTAAATGTAATGCATTTGTTTATTATTCAGCAAAACCTATGGCCGAGGCTTTTTGAATATTAGCTTATGGGAAATTGAAAGTGTTGGGGACTTGCAGAAATCTAGCCTTTTTTTTTTTTTTTTTTTAAGCATCAGAAGGTACTTGAAAGATGTGAACAGATAAGGCTAAAAAGAAAACAGAAATGGCTACATTTTAAACTGCCTTTCCACCCTCAGTATTTAATTAGATCAATTGTATAGAGGAATGAACAGAGGTGACATTCCTCATTGGGATTCCTTCCAGGACTCTTATAGACTTTGCATTCAGAATGTTCCCATTTTCATTGTGTTGTACTGATGATAATTTAAGTATTAGGGGAAAATCCATTTATAAATTAAACAAAATGACTTGATATCCATCAGTCCCCTAGTTCATCAAGCTGTTCAAACACGGGGAAGATTGGCTGGTCGGCCTGGGTCTTCCGAGAGCGCTGGTAATTAGATCTGCGAAGGATTTATTCTTTGCTGATTGGGGCTTTAAATTAATTGAAGTTCCACATTTGTGGTTTTGTCCTTTTTGTACTTTTTTAGAGGAGATATTTCATATTCTTGTGTGGTGGAGTGCTTGGCCAAGCAGCAGTGGTTTAAATGTTAATTTTTCTCATGAGAAGTTTAAGATTTTTAATGAATCAAGGCCTGATTTGAAGTGCAAAGTTTTATTTGCTTACTTGGGAAATTATTTTTGCACTCTTTAAAGATGTTTGTACTTTTCTTGATCTGTTGTTTTAAAACAGATTCACAACACACGTACACACAAAAGAAGAAAATGGGGGAAAAAACTATCTTAAGGTTAATGTTAAAATATCTCTACATGCTTCCAAGAAAAACATTTTTAATTTTGCCTGCTTAGAAATAATCACAGTATGTTTGCTCACAAAGAAGGGGAAAAAACAGATTTTTCTCTTTTGGAAATATTTGAATTCCATGTTTCTTCACTGAAGTGAACAGTGGCTTCTGAGGCCCCATCCCATAGCATTATTCCACAGCACTGGTGAGCATCTTTCTCCAGTGAGCCCATGCATAAGAAAAAAGAGTATTTAAGACTGCTTTTTATCACTTAAATTTGAAAATATCTGTGTTCATAGGGCAGGGGGAGTCATATATTCTTATACCAAAGTTCACTGACTAGATATGTCAGAGAGAAAACCGGAACTGCTTTTTAGTCATTTACCACCAGTTGCCATTGAATTGATTCTCACTCACAGCAACCCCATGTGTGCTGACCCCATGTATGTCAATGTAGAACTATGCTCCATAGGATTTTCAATGTCTGATTTTTTGAAGTAGATCACCAGGCCTTTCTTCCGAGGCATCTCTGGGTAGACTGGAACCTCCAACCTTTCAGTTAGGAGCCAAGCACGTTAACTGTCTACACCACCCAGGGACTCCTTTTAGTCATTAGAATGTTCATATTTGAGAGGTGGCCCATGAGACAGTTTTCGCTTTTTCATTCTAGATTTGGATTGGGTTACATGGTTTACTCATGACTCTTAAACCCTTAAAATAATTTAATTTTGTAAGCCTTAGTATGAAGGAAGGCCCTAGGAAAGTAGACTTTGCTTCTATGAATCAAGTTGGGAAGGCTCTTCACCATCCTTTGATCTAATCTCCAACCCAATATAGTCATCCCTGTAGAGCAAGACCAACACGTGGCCTTCCAGTCTCTGCTTGAACCTGTCCCTGGTAGGAAGCTCTCTAAATTACAAGGCTGCCCTCGTTCAGCAGTTCTAATAGGTAGAAAGTTATTCCTCATATGGACACAAAATTGAATTTGCTGCCACTTTTCCCCAGTGATCTATGATCTGCGTTCTGGGACCATGTTTCTAAGACCCTCACCACCCTAGTCACTCTCCTTTGGTTGTGCTTCAGTTTGTCAGTGACCCTCTAAAATTACGGTTCTGAAAACTGAGCACAGCCCTCCAGATACATTCTGATTAGTACAAAACAGGGGGACTGTCATCTTTCTCAATACAGACTGCTATGTACATCTATTAATGCAACATAAGGTTGACTTAGGTCCTGTTGGCAGCCAGATCACACTGTTGATTCATATTGAGCTTGATATCTCCCCAAACATATGCTGAGTGAGTTGTCACTTGGAGGGACTTTGATTGGGAGAAAGAAAAAAAAATCCAGAGTCCATAAACCAGTTCTGCTAAGATATCATCCTAAGCTAGAGTGAAATCAAGCTGGTTTAAGATTTAATATTAGAACTCTGATAAATTCCATGCCTTCTATGAAGCACCAGCATGCATACAACAACTCTAGGTACACTGTTAGAACTCAGTTCTTACTTATAATCTTTTCATTCTGAATATTAGGAGAATACATATCACCTTCGACTATTACCACCCTTCTCTCCTTTAAAGTCACTCTGTTCATTTAACATTTAAAGGTATCATACATTTACTTGGGTTTCTTTCCTCTGCCTTCCCACGCTGCCTTTAGCCATTCTAACTAGTGAAATTGAAAACACTGCTTTCTGCATCCCTTAACAACTTGGGCTCATTAGCTACAGTCACATAGGAAGGGTTTCTCCTTCTTGACAGAGTATCTCTCACCATTAGAGAATGTTAAGCTGTGTTTGCCTCAGGGCTTCTAACAGGTTCAGTCTGGTTCAAACCTCTGCTGAGAATTTGCATGCCTAACAAGTCCCCTGCTGAGAATTTGCATTTCAAACAAGTTCCCAGGAAATTATACATAAGAATCACCTGGGGATCTTATTAAAATCTAGATTCTGATTCAGTATATCTGGGGGTAGAAATGCCCTGCTTAAAAAGTCCGTAGTGTTGGTTATTTTCAATCTTTTGGCTTAAAAAAAGCTATTAGATTTACTGCTGAAATTCTGAAAAACAACATAGGATGCTACTTTTAGCAAAATATCATCACTAATGCAGATGATTGCTCTAACGGAATTAACTTAGAAAAGTTCATGTCAGGCACTACATCCCAAAGCTGCTTATGTTTCTTAAAAGCTGAAAGAATTTTAACAAGACTTTCTAATTCTTAATAACATGAAGGAACATTTTTGAAGACTGTTGTTAACTGCATCATAATCTTTTAGACTCTGATAACAACACAGATTCTTTTTTAAACAGTGGTGTAATTTGGGTGGAAAAGGGGTATTGATATGTGCTTATTATGAAAATGAAGGGGCTAGTAGGTATGGAATTTTTCAGAAGCCCTGAAGTGTTCAGTGTAGCATTACTAAATGACTGAAATCTAAATAACATTTGGCATTATAATAAAAGGAGATAAGTGACTAAACCAGCCTAAGAGGCAGTGATACTGTGTCATAATAAGAATTCTGTTTCTTTGAACTGCTAGCCCTGTGATTGTCTTGTCTTGACCCAGTCTTAAGAGAATGAAAGAAAAAAGATCTGTTGATGGGACAGCAAACCCAAATAAATTTCATATGTATGGACGTGTATTAATAGTTCATAAGGCATTTCTTTTAGAGAAATTTTAAGGCAGGCATAAGTAAATGGGTAGCCTGGTTTTAAAAAGTTATAGAGTTCTAGATTGCCTATTCAGGAGTTTTTTGAACATTTTGGAAGAGACTGTGCTTCTCTGTCTGCAGGCCAGCGTTTTTCTGTCCCTATAGGCTCCCGTACTTGGGGAGTGCAGAATCTCTGGAAGAGGCCATTTGGATGGTTTGTTTTCTTTTCATAGATCTGCTTGTATCTTCTTATTACTCTTAATAATTCTGCGATCTTAGGAGTATGAGTGCTATCCTCTTAGTAAAGTTCAGTGTTGTGTCTTCTAAATGCTTAATAAACAGAAAAGCAGCTCTTTCAAGAAGTTTTAGAGGAACTTTAAAAATCTTTTTTTGAAGGTTAAGAGTAATATTCCTTAGGCTACGTCATAAAATTATTGAGTTTTTTTCTCCTTTCTCCTTCATAATAAAACAGCTTTATTTTTTTTCCAATGAAAAAATTAATTAATGACCAGTGTGAAAAATTCAGAGACTGCAGAAGACAACCAACCAACATCCCACTATCCAGAAAAAAAACACGGTTCACATATATATATCATATGTCCTTCTAGACTTTGTTGCTACACCTGTATACATATACAGGAATGTAGTGTTCTTATTTGTTTGGTTGTTTTGCTTTTGTTTTTTTTTACTAAAATAAGATCATAGCACACATGCATCTGGTAACCTTTTTCATGTAACTTCATGGGTGTCTTTCTCTGTCATGTTTCTCTCTTTAAGACAAAATTTCCTTTTCTGTCTCCAGCAGTTTGTTTCCCACTAGCTAACGATCAGCTCCTAGCTGTAGGACCACTGTCAGGAGTAACGTACCTGGGTCCTGCTTTGGAGGGAATTGAGCCAGGACAAGGGGTTCTTGCAGCTTATGGAATGGGTGCAAGCTCATAGAGGGAGAAATCAATACTGGACCAGGATTTAGACAAGTTAGCAAAATGTCTGAGACAGTATTTTGAATGAAGAATAACTACAGCAGCCTGGTTAACCCACTGGTTGTCTAAAATAGGGGTTAGAATGGTTTGTTTAAAGTTTCAGGCAGAATCTAGCTTGTTTTATAGGGTTACACTAATCATTGCAGTAGTATAATCTGTATGCTGTTATACCCACTCTATGTCCTGAATATTTTAAAGGCAAGCAAAATTGAAGCACTCGAGT